ACGCCAAGTTTTGCAAAGTGACGCGGACTGATATGCGGTATATGAAATCAAAGTAGTTTGATGAAAATTATTTACTATATACATAAATAAACGAAAACAAAAAAAAACGCATTGCTAAGGTCAATATAGGAGAGATCTCCGATCGGTTGGTTGGGCACTGATCTACATTGAAACGGGGAGATCTACCCAAGTGGTCGGCTAAGTGTCAACACTACCCTTTTTCAAACTAGTCGGTTGCCAACCGCTCGGCGAATAAATCAACCCCTTTCATATGAGGAACGCTTCTTTCTCTACAGAGCTTATTTACATAAGGTACAACATATAATAAAATACACCAATTTTAGAAATCTTTTATTGCTCATTATTACGGGATTTTCGATGGTGACTTTGCCAGTCATAAAATTATTTTCTTAAACGCTAATTCAGAAAAATGCGCGGCGGTGGAAACTGTAAAGGTCACTGTGAGAGACGTGTTCGGTCGGCTAAGTGTGTTAAGATATCGATTAATGTAATATTTTTGATTAAGGGAAAAATTAAAAATTAAAAATTAAAAAAAAAAGAAGAAAGATACCAATTAAGAAAAATTAACAAATAGATAAATTAATGTTATTTTTTACGCGAATAAAACATCTTCAAAGTTATATTAATGAAAGGAAGAAAACAAAAACAAAAAGAAGAAATAAAATTAAAAGAAAAACGGTCCTACTAATAATGGGATATAATATTTCACATGAATTTAAGAAAAAAAAAAAGATAAGTTTCTGATTTGATATAAGAATATTAATGGGAAGAAAGAAAGAAAGAAAAAAGAAAAGAAAAAGAAAATAAAAAAGCAAATGAAAGGATACATAATATATATATATATATGTGATGACTAAACGCGTTGTTTTCAAAATGGGGGAAAAAAGAAAAGGAGAACGTTGAATTAATGTATGCGCACGATAATGGGATACATGTTTTTTTTTTTTTTGTTTAAGCGTGTAATACATTTTATACGAATTTAAATGGTATATATATATTCGGATTTAATCCGTTATATGGTATATATATATATGTATAAGTAAACACTTAGAGGTTATTATTGTCTGGGGTTAGAGGTTTAAGGAATATTTTCGTTAATTTTAAACTATGTTGCGAGATTGAGTGCAATACAGCTAACCCTTTTTCTGCTTTACATAAATCCACCCACATGCATAAGTGTGCATACATAGGTAGACACTGAAATGCATACAAAAACCATTACAGTTATTATATCTCCTCTTTCTCAGTTTCTCTCTCTTTCTCACTTTTATTGAAAATGTAATTAATATAATTTCAAGCGAATAAATCTAAAACCGATTATTAATAATAATAATAATAATAATAAAAGGTCCACAACTTAATTAAGTTTTACACGGGGAGTAGAGTTATTAATTAGAAAAAAAAAAAATATATATATATATATACGTAAAAAAAAAAAATTAAAAAGGAATAAATAAATTCATTAATTTTCACGATTAATTAATTAATTAATTAATTAATTAATTATTCGAAATCAGGGAATATTCGGTTTATTACAATTTAAATTCCCAAAAATCGAACTATAAAAGAACAAACAAACAAACAAACAAACAAACAATGAAAAAAAAAAGTAAGAAGCACATTTTTTGTATCGTCTCTCTTATCTTTAAAGAAGAAAAAAAAAAGGAAAAAAAAAGAGGAAAAAAAAGAAAAAAAAAAGGATAAAAAAAAAATATTATTATTTCCTGATTATTAACACTTAGTGAATGAATCATTATATAAGGCCATATATATATTTCATATTTACTATTAAGATAATATTACACAAAAAAAAAAATATATATATATATATAATTAAAGAAAACACACACATAAATATAATAAAAAAAAAAAAAAAAAAAAATTTATTCTCGCTTGCTTCTTCAATTCCCTCTGCGCAATTATAAAAAACGTGCACTTGTTAGTGTGACATCACTGACATTTCAGTTACCACGTTGTCTTAAACGCAAAACGAAACTTTATATTAGAAATACATATAAAATATATATATATATATATATATATGTATACATAATTATATATATATACATATGCGTCTGATTTGTAAAAGAGAAAAAAAAAAAAAAAGAAGTAGAGTTTTAAGTGACTGTCACATTGCCAGGTTTACATTAATTATTATAATATTAATTATATGAATATATGAATAATACTAATAATATTAATAATAATGATAACAATAATAATAAGAAGAAGAAGAAAAAAAAAAGCAAGAATTTAAATATAATTAATATTATACAAAAAATTATTCGATATTGCGTATAAATTCAGCATGTATGTAATCGATATGATGGAATTAATGAGCGTTTTAATTGCGTTCGATTGCTCTTATTAGAAATTTAGAATTACAAATATAATATATTATGATATAAATATATAAATAAAGATCTATATATCTATATATATGTATATATATATATATATACGTATGTATGAATGTATGTATACATAGATATGTATATATATATATAGATCTATAGATTATTAAGTATATTCAAACTTATAGATATCACTTATTATTTTAAAATATCCAGAATAATAATAATAATAATAATAATAATTAATTAATTAATAATTATATAATAATAGGGGACGCGCAGCACTGGGGAGCTTTTAGTCGTTTTACGATTGATTACATATACATGCATACATACATACATACTTTCGCTAATGTTCTTGAGAGAAAAAAAAAGAAAGAAAAAGAAAAAAAAACACTAGAGGAGAAATTGCCCATGCACGCACGCGCGTGTGTGTGTGTACCATGTGTTTCTCTTAATTATTTTAAATAATACGGACACAACAAACAAAAATATGTATATGTATACACATGTATATGTATGAAAAAAAAAAAACAAAAAAACAATGTTACGAATAGAGCATATGCATTAAAATATTATGCGAGTAACCGTATGCAATGAACGATAAAACTGATGATGAGAATTACGATAACGATAATGATGATGATGATGATGATGATGATTATTATAATAATTATGATTATAATGATGATGATAATTATGACTTTGACTATGACTATGACGATGATGATGATAATGATGGTGTTGATGGTGTTGATGATGATTTTGTGATGATGATGATGATGATTGTGATGGTGATGATGATGATTAAGATAATGATGATGATGATCTATAGGATTATTCATATCTCTGCTATATGATAGTGCAAAGAATTTAAAAAGAAAAAAAAACCCTAATGTTAACTATGTCATCGGGCATTCTGTACCCCTCTCGCCCCTCCCAGTGACCCCCTAAACCCCTTTACTTCTTACCGCTAGTAGAATGTAACTGGAATAAGAATTGAAATAATGTTTATATGAATTAATAATAATAATTAATATTATATATAATATCATACGTTATATAATATATACATATATATATGTATATATATATATATATATGTATGTATATGTATATGTATATACATAGATATGCATATATATATTAATACACACAAGAGTAAAAACACTAAGAGTTGGTTCATGCTTTTAAGAAAAAAAATTTAGTTATGAGCTTGTTTAACAAAAGAAAAAAAAAACGATGAAATAATAAAAGAAAAAAAAGAACGAGAGTAAGATGAAACAACGCAACCGGTGAAAGAAAGAAAGAAAAAGAAAAAATCAACAGCGAGAGATCAGTTTTCTTCTCTATGAGTCGAAGCACGAATATTCGTCTAAAATGGGAATTTTTCATAATTTGTATTTTTTCTCAAAAATTATCCATCTAAGAGAAAACAAACATTTTTCGTTGATTTAAAATTATTGTTTATTTTCATTTCATATTTAAATTTATATTATCATTGACACTGTAATTTTTTTTTTTTCAGTCGTTCGAAAGCATACTAAGAAAAATTATTGAACCGCAGGTTTAATTTCTTTTTTTTTTTTTTTTTTTTAATTGACCTTCCTCCGAATTTGATAATAATTATAGAGTAACATTTTAATTTCTATTTGTATTTTTGTTTCGTTTGTTTTTTTTATTTATTTTCTTTCTTATGATATCTTTTAAAAAGAAACAAAAAAGATAATATCCCAAAGATGAAATGAAATGTTCGGTAATATGTGAACGGACGTAATTAGCAGCTTCGACTCAAAGTGAAATTAAGGTGATGGAAAGATTTTTTTCTTTTTTTCAGATAAAAAAAAACAAAACAAAACAAAAAAATATGATTTACTTTAGATAGAACAAAAATATTATGTATAGAATTTTATTATGCACCATTGTAATATTATGTATCCCAGATGTGACACAATATACACTGGTGTTATGTTAAATGTGACAAGATTTTGTATGATGTTATTACATGGATTTTCTTTGTTTCTTTTTTTTTTTTTTTACAATCTCTCTATTAATTAATGTATAGAAAAAAAAAAATTATTTACGTTATTTAATTACATACCTGAATATATATATCATATATATTTCATGTAGAGTTCAAGTTTTCACGAAATAGATTGCATTTATCGTATTTTTATCATTTAATTAAATCATTCAATAATTAGTATAACATTTAAATTCATTATTCTTTTTTATTTCAACTTTGTTAGGATCAGTAAAAATCGATGTTTATTTTTTTTAATAATAATTAAATATTTTATTGTTGCAAACTTAAATAATAGAAATTTAACGTATATTTACACGCTATCGGCGGGTCGGGTATTTCTACCCGTTCCACAGACTGGCGCTAATCGGCGGGTCGCGTATTAATACGTTTTATACAGAACGTAAGCTAAGTTTCAGTAAAACACACAAAATCTTTAACAATAATAATTTTAATAGATAAATGAATTAATAGACATGTTTAAATAAAAAAAAAACGCTTAATTATTTACAGTACTCAACTTTTACATAAAGTAGAAATTTTGAATTAAAATCACCTGACTAGTCAAAATCACTAATCTGGTATATCTAATGTTCAAAGTTTTATTTAATCATTATAAATCAAGAAATATCAGATGTAATTCAAAAACTATTTAAAATATGCAATTGAAATTTTAATATGTTATTTTTAAAAGTATATACTGCCGAAATATGCAAAAAAAATTGATTTATTCCAAATTTTATCCTAAATAGTGCCCCTTAAAAATTGAAACAGATAAAAAATGGAACCAAAGAAAGCAGCGCCGCCAAACGGAGTAAAGCACAAACGGGGTACAAGCCGCACCCCTCGGGGAAGAATACAAATATCTGTGCAGGTGTGAACATGTTAAACAAATTTCTGGTAAAAAAAGTGATTTATATTAGATATTTGAATTAATTCGTAATTGTATAAAAAGGATCGATTTTTAGATTGACTTCAAAGACGAAGTTAATTCCAATACCTACACCTTCAAACACCATTACAATATTTTACCCTGTATAATATATATTCAATAACAATATAATATTCATTTTTTTTTTTTTTATAAAGTATTAAGTTAAATATAACAAGTTTACTTCAATTAATTAAAATTGAGCATTGGTAAATCGTTTTCTGACCATAAATAAATTTGTTGAAAAACTGATCTGTATGAATTTGTATTTCCAGTATATAATGGAGGAGGATAATTATAAATTAATTTTGTCATTTCTTCATCACGATCTGAAAATTTATTTTTATTTTTTCGTGCTAAAAAAAGAAAAAAAAAAACAAAAAAAATTAATACAATATAATTTTGGATTACAAATATATTTCAAAAATAATTATATTAATTTACCTTCGTCCACGAAGAAATTAGCAAAATACTGAGAGACCTTAATAGCGTTTGAACTATGAGGTATATTTCTTCCTATTATCCATTCGTAAATATTTTTTTCCGGATGAAATTGTAATCCATAAAAAGGAAAATTAATGTGTTCCATGCTAGATATAAATCTTATGCCATTTTCGTCATTATTTTGAGAAATGATTCGCCAATTTCTATTCAAACGATGCGTTTTGAATTTCTGTACCATAGTAATTGCATAATTGTATTACTTATTTTCATTTAGACGCGATAATAATAATAATAATAATAATTACTAAAAAAAAAAACAACTGACTTCTTTAGTTATACAAAATATATGAAAATTAATAGTGACTTCGTCCTTTTCTAAAATATCAATAATTTCCTCTGACGCATTTGTAAATAATCTTGATTGTTTAAAATCTGAAAATGTATTTTATTGGGTTATTAGTTATTGGATAAGTATTTTGAATAAATTGTCAGTATTTATAATAACACATCAATATACGTTGCCAGCGATGTGGAAGGTGTAGTTTACCGTCAGCAGAGCCTATTCTTGTTGATGGTGCGAATGGAGCGGGGTCTACTGCCATGTCTCATCCAATGTTACGATACGGCGTAAGAAAGCCTCTCATTCGCGCTCATATCGCTCCAAGTGCATCTGAGCAGCGTCGTAACGCATCTATTTCTGCATTACCGTCAATTCATTCGGAATCCATCGTAGCATTCGCTTCAGAACTGTCCCAGAGATTTAACATCAACAGAACAGGCTCTGCTGACGGGTTCTACAAAACGCTGGTGACTACTTTGAAGCAATTCTGCAATTCTGCTTTATTATAAATACTGATTAAATTTTGTAAATAATTAATCATTCAATGCTTACTTCTTTCGAACTGTAAAGGTAAAGCTTGCGATTCGCTATTACAAGATACTCTTTTCATTTCCTTGCCAGATGCAAGGAATGCTAATAATTCAAATCCTAAACAAATTCCTAGAATTGGGAAGTACGTTCCATTTCTATTCATATCCTCAGCAATTCTAAATAAAAAAAAAAAAAAAAAAACAATATGTTGTTAAAGTTCAACGTTAATACAAAGAGGTAAAAGATTATTTATTAATAATATTTCCATATTTATACTGATATATTATTTCTCCTGCATTAGCATATCCTCCATGTTTGATGCTTGTTGCTCCGCCTGGTAATAAAACTCTAACGTAGAAATAAATGTTTATTAATGATTACTCCATTTTACTTTAACATTATTTATCTTATCATGAAGAAATTTACCCAGATATTTTTGTCATTAAGTCCCTGTAATATGATCTGCTTTGATTGATTCTGTAAGAAAAAAAAAACAAATACGATTTTTATCATATTATTTTATCATATTTTTTTTAATTACAATTTTGTCTACAATATAAGAATAAAATTATGATCAAGTATTACATGTTCACGTTATTAATTTAATACTGTAGGACACTTGAAGACAAATCGCTCTTTATTTTCTGTGAAATTAAACCTTAGAATTTCAATTGATTATACTTGAAAAAATCTCTCCCTTACAATTATCAGTAATAATACTCTTACAATATTTTAACTCATATCAAATATTATATTTTTCTTACCGAATTGGTACAACTCTTGCACCAGCACCTTCAACAAATTTAACGTAGGACGCAGCTATATAACTTTTTTCATTATCCGAAAATCTAGTAGTTTCTTGGGATAAAATACCTTTAAAATAAAAAAATTAAAAACAAATATATTAAAGTAATAACTGTTAAAAAAATGAAGAAACTTTAAGTTATACTTACCGATTATTGGCCGTTTTTTACTAAAAGTATTAACAGTATTATTTATAAGAACAATAGAAAAAATAAAACAAAAGATTCCAATTTTGAAAATGGTTGACATTGTTTTATTTTTATATATATATTTATATTAAATTATTATTTATTATCTTTTTTGCAAAGTAAAATATTGATCTTCGTTCTTTTAAAAATGACAAAGTTTTAATTACGTGTTCTTCTTGTAACTACGTTACTTTGCAAATACGTGTTCTAATAATAAATTTGTACTTTAATAAAGTAATCGTGAAAATGAAGATTCATTGAAAACGTCATAAGCAGGAGTATTACTTGACCTATTTGAATAAGATATCTTCATTAATTTGTAATTTATATAGTAAAAATTCTATTTAATGCTAAGTAATGTTATTTGTTTGTATTATTGCGCTTGCGCAAAACACTTCGCGCAAAATAAATGCTAAAAATCTGCCCGTCTCCTCAATCGTCAAATAATTTTCATTTATAGATTAAATAATATAGTAAATGGTTAATATCTAGGGACTTTCTGCTAAGAACAGTCCAAAAATTAATAATACTGCATAAATATCGAAGAAAAAGAGGGCTCTCAAGACACAGGCCATAGGGTGCCCTCTAGGCGGAAACTATAAGTACTGACACCACGTGCGATTATTTCTTCTTATACGTGTTATATTTCATTAGTCATTGGTTCATCGTAGAGGAAACAATATCAATCGCTAAGTACATTGTATTTGTCGCACGTTTGATTCCTCAGTGAAGTGATTAAAAAATTAATCGCCGAGAGGGTAGATCATTGATATTTTACATATTTTATTATTATTGTATTTTATTATATAATAATATAAGTGTTAACAATTAAAATGGTAAGATATTTGTCATATATATATTTAAAACGTACATAACTTTTTACTTTGAGGTTAAGTCTCACGTGATTGCATTATATTTATACTTGAATTTATTATTATTTATTATTATTATTATTATTAATAGAGATCAATTAGTAAATTATAATTCGTTCTTATAAATAAAACTAATTGTATTTAATCTCTTTTTTTATATAGGAAGAAGTTAATCCAAAAGCTTATCCCTTAGCAGACGCGGCCCTAACCGCTAAAATTTTAAATCTTGTTAAACAAGCTGTAGATTATCAGCAATTACGAAAGGGTGCAAACGAAGCTGCTAAAACTTTGAATCGTGGACTTTCTGAATTTGTAGTAATGGCTGCGGATGCTATGCCTTTAGAAATTCTTTTACATTTACCGTTGTTGTGCGAAGACAAAAATGTACCTTACGTATTCGTTCGTAGTAAACAAGCATTGGGTCGTGCTTGTGGAGTATCTAGACCAGTTGTAGCATGTTCTGTTACACTTAACGAAGGATCACAATTAAAGCCACAAATTGAAGCTATACAACAACAAATAGAACGTTTATTGATTTAAATAATGTATATATATATATATATATATATATATATATATATATATTTACTGTACAATTATATTCCGACGCACCTGTACAGACTACTATTTTTGTCACATGTGCCCCTCATCTATGTGTCTGATCCAATTAATAATTAATATTATATTTAAATATTAATTATTAATTGGATCAGGATATTGATGAATTGGATTGTAATACAATTTTTTCAATAAATAACAACAAAAATATCTTTTTATATCTTCTAAATTAGTATAGATTTTTTAAAGATATACTATTATAACATATATTTTGTTATTACATATATGGCATTAAATTTTAATGTACTTTGAAATAGTTTGTATGCTGTTTTTTTATACAGTTTATACGAATACTTTTAAGTAGCTCGGAATTAAAATAAATAATCGAAATGTGCATGAAATTATATCAAACAAAAGAATGTCTCAATGTAACAATTATTTTGCTTATTTTCATTTAACTTAAAAAAAAAAAAAAATAATAAATCTATATTCGTTTTTAAACGTAGATACATTTTATTTGTAATATTATCTAATATTAATCTAAATAAATATAATAACATTTTGTTAAAGATATAAAAAAGAGAAAAAAAATTATTTGAAACAATTTAACACATTTTGACGCCAATTGTCGTGCCAACGAAGCTCTTGAAATTTAAATAATTCGTTTTGAAATTTTTTACGAGTTTTTGCTATTGACTCATTAACGGGAAATAAATAAAACCATGATTTCAACTGTTGAGCTAGTTCTTGTTCGTCTGAGAAAACGTAACTATTTTTATCATGTTTCACCAATTCTGATAAACTGAAACATTACCAAAATACATTATTGGATCATATGCAAATATGTATTTATAATATTTACCATGGAAAATGATATGCGCAAACAGGAAGACCACATCCAAACATATCCACTACTTTCATTGGTAAATCTAATCCACTGGAGGATGTATGAAGACATATTCCAAGATCTGCACAAGCTAATTACAAATAATATTAAAAATACTTTACCTCGAAAGATATCAAATAATTGATAAATTATCAATGAACTGTATCATATAATATATTAACATACCTAATAATTTAGGATATTCATCATTTTCCAACCATAGCATGATAATTTTAACATAATTCCAATTCTTCGACTTTATAATAGCAGTATAAAAGTCTTTTAACGGTCCCTTACCCGTTATTAAACATAATAAATTTGCTAAACCTGAATTTCCCTCTTGACAAGTATTTTCGTATTCTGTAAATTTAACATCAAACGATATATCATACAACAATGTTAAATAATTATTAATCTAAAAAAAAAAGTACCTTGCAAAGCAGTTATGAGTATAGAAAAATCCTCGTCTTCTGTCCAACTTGTGCTAGATATAATAAAGCCTGGTCTTTCAGGTAATAAATCTACTTTATCGCCTAAATTTTGTGTAAAAATTGTTGCATGTGTATTTTTTCCAACAAAAACATCATATTTTTTACTTAATTTAATCAAAAATTCATGTTTCTCTTTTAATGAGATTGGTTTAAAACTATTCTCTGAACGATCATATAAAACATGTGCTCTGAAGATAAAGAAAAGTTTAATACAATTTAAAAATGAATTAAAACTAGATAATTGTATCTTTTAATGTAACTTTTTAAGCAATACGAACTTGATTCCCCATTGCTTTTCTAAATCCTCTTTCATAGCTTGAGTAACGCAAAAATTATAACACGCTTTTCTTCCAAAATATGTTTCAATAAATTTTGCTATTTTAACAACAGTGTGATCCTTCTTTAGACTTAATGCCATTAAAGAATGTGCGTAATTATGCCAGTCAATGAACAATTTACTTTCACTTAAGATACTAAAGAGCCAACATATTGGAATTGTTGGTATGGCGGGTGGATTTTGTATTAAAATGTAATTTGATATGCGTTTAGAGAACAACATAAATAAAAGTGTAACACTTTGCCATAGCACCTTTGCAATATAATTCAAAACAGTAGGTAAGCCTGAAATATTAGAAGAAAACAACAACAAAAATATATATATATATATATAATCCATAAAAAAAAACAGTATAAATTAAAGATTTGTTTTTACAAAAATTCGTACTATTTTCCAATGCTGGATAATGTGGAAGATAATGTATTTTAATATGTGAATTATTTAGAATTTCATTTAACGGAGATGAACCAGCATAACCTATAAAATCCACATCAAAGCCTTCATTTGCAAAGGACAATGCATGATATTGCATTCGTGGACTTCTTCCCAAATCTCCAAGAACAATGATGCATACATTCTTCATTTCTTTGCGACAATAAATCCATAATTTGAATGTTAATAATGTTAAAAATATTCCACACAAAAATATGAAGAAGATCATTATTTGGAATGTAGTATTGTATAGCCTACCGGCATGAAACTAATAATACCAACATAAGTCAACCTATCAAACTACGGACATTTAAACATTGCAACACGTGCTTAAGTATTTCCAATAACAATCTTTTATAAATGTTACTATTTATGGGATAATAATAGTTTTATTTTTATTTATTTTTGTTGTTGTTTGTTGTTGTTGGATCAATTAAACCTCATATTCTTTTACTACCATTGGTTAAAGAGTTTTGTTCCTTATTTTTATTGGTTTATAAATATTGACAAATTTATTTCATTTTTTTTAAAGTTATATGTTCAAGTTATTCATCAAATAACTATACAGATCTTTAATTGACTAAACATACGTCAAAAGTTTTCAAAACATTGGACAAAAAAAGAAAATAATAGGAATCAAAGAAAGCAGAATTATATGCATTTAAAATAATTTATTCGAAAATTAATGATATAATAAATCATTTGGTCATGTGAAATATTGGATATGAAAGATAAAAAAAAAATAGTTTTATTACTGTAATTAATTATAATATACATTATATTATAGATATTATACTCGTAAAAAAAAAAAAAATGTCATCATTGATGAGGAAATAAAATTTTATTATAACGAGGAAAGAAACGTAAGCAAAATAACTCTGATTACAAATGAGACGCCATATATGTGTTATCGGTCATAAAGAGTGGAAAGCGGTTTAAAACAACAACTTCCGATTTCCTTTTCGGCCATTACGGTCTTAAGCAGAAGACGTTAAACGAGGAGTGAATGTTCCCGTGAGATGTTTGAACATTTTATTACATTAGCTCGAAGGTGGAGCTGAAGATAATAAAAAGATCTATTGTACGAAGATAAATAGTATCGAAAAGTAAAAGATATCGGAGTAATTAAGTCACAAAAGGTTATGTCGTTCGTATTCAATGTGCCAATTGATGATGGCGGTTGTTTTATTCACGGTCATACGGTGCGTTTAAACGTAGCGCCGCACGCGCCTTTGCGTCACGTGGTGACCACCCACGTTTCGGGTTGTAAGTAAACAAGGAGAAGGAAAAGAACAATAATATTAGTGCGAAGTAACGACGCATGTACATACACACGTATGTACGTTCTACATGAAGATTAAATAATAATACACAATAAGTATTACGTTAATTGACGACGTGCGTGTGTTTGCGTGCGTATTCGTTTCCTGATATCAAATTTTTAACAAATTCAACTAAAGAACAAGATTCAATCGAGTCAGATAATATAAACATACGCACTGTTATTTCGTAACCCAAAGAAACCGTTTATTTCGTGATGACGAGAATAATGTATATATGTATGTAAATTGTTTAAGTGTGTGTGCGTGTTTACGCTTTATCCTCTCGTCTCCCCCCTATACGTCGTGTGTATGATGTGTATATTATATATATCCTGTTATTAATATATATATATATATCTATATATACACAAAGCCGATTACAACATCATCGGGACGTAAAGAACAAAAAAGGTTTCATCGACGTAAGAAGAGAGCAGCTGAACTTATTGAAAAAAGACTCGAAGATATTTTGAAAAGGTTGTACAAGACCGGGTTGAAAAATGATGTCATCTTTTACGACGGAGCACGTAATCATCTTGTCATTTTCTTCGATTTATCATTTTTTGAACGTGCATATCCTCCCTGTTGTCCGATTTTAGTAGTTTTCAGTAAACCGCAGCAGGTATATCTGCTTGTGAGTGTATTTGAGCGCCTCTGGTTGTGTGCTCGGTCCCTTCCTCTCTTTAAACTACATATATTCTATATATTCTTACACGTCCGTCTGTCTCCTCTTCGTCTCTCTTATTCTATCTCTCCTCTTTTCTACCACCCTTCTCCTCCTCCTCCTCCTCATTCTCCTTCTCCTCCTCTTCTATACCTCCTCTGCCCTTCGTTCTCTACTATCACGGCTGTTCATTCGTCAACTCTTTCGCATATCTACCTATCTATCTATTTAGTCATTTACCTAACTCTTAGAGCAAAGAATCTTTCTAACTAGTTGTGAACTGTTGTCTCTGTCACTTTTACTCTTGTCGCTCGCTCACTCGCTCATTCATTCGTTCGTTCGTTCGTTCGTTCGTTCGTTCGTTCGTTCGTCGTTCGTTCGCTCACTCACTCGCTCACCCGCTCACCCGCTCGCTCGCTCACACACTCCCTCTTTCTCTCTTTTTCTCACTGTATCTCTCTCGCTTTCTCTCGCTCTCTTTCGATCTTTCTCGCTCTTTCTCTATCTTTCTTTCTCTCTCACTCTCGCTAATTCATTCTCTCTCCACCTCGTTGGAGAGCTTGCTCGCTCGCTCGCTCGCTCGCTCGTTCGCTCGCTCGCTTGGCCGCTCGCTCGTTCGTTCGTTCGTTCGCTCGCTCTCTTGGTACTATGTCTACGTACTCTCGTACTCAGGAGAGCGACGCGTGGGCCCTCCTGGCACTGAAGTCGGCACCGGCCAGTCCGACGAAAATGCAGTGGAATCCAGAAGCTAAGGGTGCACCGATCGCTAGACTCGAAGGTCGGGAATTCGAGTACATGGTTAGGCAGAGACGCATCACCATCGGTCGAAACAGCAGCAAGGGTGAGGTCGACGTCAACATGGGCCACTCCAATTTTATCTCCCGCCGACATCTCGAAATATTCTACGATCATCCCTTTTTCTTTATGACCTGCAATGGCAAGAACGGCGTCTTCGTCGATGGCGTGTTCCAACGTAAAGATGCATCTGCCTTTCAATTGCCAAAAACGTAAGTCCTTTTTTCTCATATTTTTAATTTTCTACTATTTTGTCTCTCTTTTTTTTCTCTCTCTCTCTCTCTCTCACTCTCTCCTTCTCTTTCTCTCTCTCTTTTTCTCTCTCTCTCTCTCATTTACTCACTCTTATTCTCTATTTAACTCTTTCTCTCATTCTCGCGTGTACGTTAACCTATGTCTTTTCTTATTCCTTACAACATACACTTGCAACGAGTCAAATATCTCCTTATGCATTTATTCCATTTTATGTACATCTTTTGTTTCATCGTTCTTTTCCAATTATTATTTATGTTGAGTAAATCGATAAATATTTTGATTGATGTAATATTTTATTAGAATTGAATAAGACAAATAAGGTCGTGTTTTCTTGTCAGGGATTTGAAAGCATAGAGTAAAAATATCGACATGGTTTTCTATTTTTTAATTTTTTTTTCTTTTTTTTCTTTTTCCTCGAACAGCTGCCTATCCTAAAAGGTTTTCACTAGTTAGGATTTTCTTCTATGTTGGTAAATATTAGTAACTGTCAAGAGACTATGATAAACAAACATGTAATGGCGTAATATACTTACATTTTGCCTATTTTCAAAGCGACAATGTGTGTTTATTATGTATATGCTACCTACCTTTCTGTTTGTAGTGTTATTGTTTGTCCTTCATTTTATATAAAAAAAAAAAATACATTTTAAGGTTGTGATAAATATGTACAATTAACCATTGCCAACAATTAACCAACACATACACAAACACACAGAAATGTGACAACCACTATCTGTAAGTATCGAGCAATATCACTCATGTTATTAATATTAGAAGATTCTATGCATAAATAAATAATATTAGTATGAAAGGATAATAATAGTAAAACTTTTTCATTTGCAGATGCACCTTTAGATTTCCAAGTACAAATATAAGACTTGTATTTCAATCTTTGGTGGATGAACAAGAACAAGGTAATGTACGTGTACCGTCTCCTCCTAAACTGAGAGTACCACTACCGCCTCTACGTATAAACATACCTGACACGGGATATAGTAGTCCCTTTCCTTCTCCTACGGGAACCATAAGTGCTGCTAACTCCTGTCCAGCTAGTCCACGAGCAGGTCAGGGTAGAAGAAATATATCTGCGGATTTACAAATGGTAGCAGCATATGCAGCAGCAGTTGCAAATGATCCACAAAATTCTGGAATGGAAAGGCACGAAGGAGCTCAAAGTTCTAGTAGACAAATCAGTCCTGAACCAGGGAATGATCAACGTTACAGAGGTAGTGGTAGTTCGGGACCAAATGGTACAACTGCACATTATAGTCCACCAAAAGATGATACCAAGCCTCCTTATTCATACGCCCAACTTATAGTTCAGGCTATTGCATCTGCATCTGACAAACAATTAACTTTATCGGGCATTTATTCGTATATAACAAAACATTATCCATACTATAGAACAGCTGATAAAGGCTGGCAAAATTCTATTAGACATAATCTATCATTAAATCGATACTTTATAAAAGTACCAAGGAGTCAAGAGGAACCTGGGAAAGGTTCTTTTTGGAGGATAGACCCACAATCAGAAGCTAAGTTAATAGAACAAGCTTTTAGACGAAGAAGACAACGCGGTGTACCCTGCTTCCGTGCTCCATTTGGATTATCCTCAAGGTATATCAATATATGTTTTTGTAAACTACTTACTGTGATTATCTTCTCATTCAAATGATTCATTATTTTAATTTGTGAATTAACAGAAGCGCACCTGCATCTCCGTCACACGTGGGAATTAGTGGTTTAATAACACCAGAATGCCTGAGTAGGGAAGGTTCCCCAGGACCTGAAACATATCCTGATAATTCTGTTCCTTCTCCAGCTGGTCATCTTACGAGTCAGTCTGCACCAGGATCACCAGGACATCCATATGCACCGTCTTCCCAGCAATCCCATAAAGGGCGATTGGTGCAGCAAATCACTGTTGTTACTAATGGTGTAAGTGGAGACGCAGCGAGGGAAGGTATTTTTTTGCATTTTGAATTAAACAGTAAATACATTATATTTACACGATAATTGTAATCTTAATGGGAAAGGTTTCTTGCAATTGTAGATAAATATTTGGTGCCTGGAAACATAGTAGAGGAGCATTCTTTATCTCCAGCTGGACAGTATAGCCCAGCTCCTGTTATTGTACAAACAACATATAATTACAGGTACGTATTATTATAATTAGTTTATACAAATGATATGTATTGTAATTTACAATAATGAGTGTCCGAGTTTCCGATGAGAAACTCATATCTATTTAATTATTTGACATAGCTTACTTATATATTTATTTGACATTTTAGTGGAAACTTTATTGGCCCTGACGCAGGCGTTGGGGTTGGCAAAAGAGCACATGATGAATCAGATAGTTCGCCCGGTTCTCCAGCTCCTCTTGCCATCGTTGAAAGTCCTGAGCCTCTGGAACATCAACAATTACAACAACAGCAGTCAAAACGTCAACGTGTGCACGACGTTGATGATCATTGAACTTATTATTCTAGAATCCCACTTCGTAGAACATTATTACATTACATTATTTGCCTATTACCAGACACACAGCCAAGTTCTCTTTTCCTTTTAACGCATAACTGCTTCGAACAGCACACGGCGGAGTAAAATATTCGGTTATATATCTTTAAAAGAAAGAAAAAAAAAAAAAAGAAATATGTTTTAAGAAAGGTTAATCGTACTGTGCGTTAATTAAAAAAAAAAAAAAGATAAAACTTATTTAGTTTGGACCACATCGAGCGAGGATTAAAAAAAAAAAAAAAAGTAATTCCTCTTACGAAAAAAAAAGCATCAATCAATTAACCAATCAATCAATCAATTTATTGGGGAAAGTGCAACTTCTGTTATTTTTTCAAAAAAGTTAAGTATATATATATATTTATATATATATATATATATACGAATGAAAATAATAAAAAAAAAGAAAAGATTTATTTGTATGGAAAAAAAAAAAAAACTAAACAAAACAAAACAAAAAACATAAGTTAAATAAGAAAAGAAATTCATGCTACTAACGATATACAGACGCAAAAGTCTCCCATAATTTTTCATATTTTGTAGTATACCGATTAATATGCATAAAAGTATATACATAGTATTGTATTTTTCACTTGACAACTTATTAATTAAAAGCACGAATGAGAGAGAGAGAGAGAGAGAGAGAGAAAGAGAGAGTCAGGGATAAATAATATCACAATTCAATTAAAACTTGAAATTGAAAGCGCGAGAATAAAAAAAAATAATAAGCCTTTTTAGTAACGTCATTAGAGCGTGGATGGTGGACACATTTAGTTCGGGAATCAAGGAATACATCATCGATTGTCCCGTTGACAACCAAAAGAAAAGAAAAAAAATAAATAAATATACAAGCACACACGTACACATGCGAAAGGGGAGGGAAATATAAATTTTGATGAAACAACTATAAGACGATGACGACGAATACGGTTAATAGTTTGTTGTTCTGTAAACGTTGCTTCGCACAGTAGCAAGGCTAAATAATCATCTTCCCTAAAAAAAAAAAAAAAAAAAAAAAAAAAATAAAAACAAAAAAATTTATAAATGAAAAAAATAAAAAAAGTAAGAAAAAGATTTAAAAAACAAAAAAAAAAAAAAGAAAAGAATACACCGCTCGAGGCATATTTCGCGTTTTCGTTGAGCATATTAGCTTATTGTTAGAAGAAGAAGAAGAAGAAGAAGAAAAACAAAAACAAAAAAAAAAACAAAAAAGAAAAAGAAGTCTTTTCCAAACAAGAAAATTAATCTTTTCAAAAGTTAGATCGTTGCGCTAAGTTTTCTTTTTCCTGATAAGAGTAAGTACCCGTGTGCTTCTTAAAATTATATATACATACATACATACATACATACATACATTCAGCATACATACATAGTTACATACATACATACATACATATATATTTTGGTGCAAAAATTGATTATTCATATATTGAAAGAAGAGTATTAGTGATATATAAATACATAAATATAGTATAACGAAAAAAAAAAAAAGAAAAAAAGATAGGCATATACAGAAAGAGAGAGTCATCTAAGATCTTGCTATCTGAATAAATTCAACAATTTTAGTGATAGGAAAAAAAATGTTAGAAGTTAAAAGTTTTACGTTATGTTACATGTTTTTTTTTTTTTTTAAATGAATATATTTTTAAATCCCTTCTATAAATTTTAATCCTTTTGAAGACAATTTTAACTGGTCATTTACATTTAAGATTATGAGTATTAACAAAAAAATAGGAGAACAAATTTGATAATTAAAATTATAGACCTTATTCTTAACACTACTAGATTTATGAATTGAGCCCAATTTAACTCAACAAGACTCTTGACTGACATTGAACATATTTGATTATTACAATATATTTATAAAATTTGAAATACTATTTTTTAAAAACATTATATTGGGTTTTTTTTTTTTTTTCGTTACGTAATGAAATATACGTAAATATTAGTTTCATTCCTTTTACTCAACCCTTCATTCTCACAATGTTATTAAATCATTACAAAAAAATAATGAACATGAAACATCCGTAAATCTAGTGTTAAAAGAAGAATACTCATGGTTTTATCAAAATTGTCGAAATTATTTGGATAAAATAACCAGTTAGTAATTATTAGTTGACTCCTTCATCACACTGTATAAAAAATCTAAACAAAGTCGCGCGTATACATTAATACAATTTCTTATCATCAACTCATCTACACACGTAAACACACGTACACACACACACAAACACACATAAGCAATTCCAAAAAGCTTTAGTCGATAGCTGCTGAAAACAGAAAAAAAAAAAATGACGTGTGGATTATTCGAAACGTTTAAAAATAGTAATTATAGGTGCCTCTAAAGAAATAATAGAGCTGAAGCGCAAAAATGCTTCCCTAGTCGCTCAAAGTATACTCTGTTAAATGAAAAATGGAAAGCTAAAAGGTATATATATATATATATACAACACTATGTATTATAATGAGAAAGAGAGAGAGAAAGAGAGATAGAGATAGAAAGAAAGAAAAAGAAAGAAAGAAAGAAAGAAAGAGAGGGAGAGAGAAAAAGGTCAGGCATATTACGTGTTAAGAAAAAAAAAAAAAAAGAAGAAAAAATAGCATTTATTCGTAACAATGCCACACTTCCTCTTTCCATCAGCCCCCCACCCCTCAAACTAACCCCCTTTTTACTTTTTTACTAAAGGATTAACTACATTTCATGGAACACGCTAATTGTTTTTCTCTCTCAGAGACAAAAGCTCGATCAGAATTCAGTATTTTTCAACAAGAGAGAGAGAGAGAGAGAGACAGAGAGAGAGAGAGATCATGTATGTATATATGCACACACTTATATATATATATATCTCCATTTAAGGGAGGAAATTATATTTTTTATGAATTTAACGTTTTCAATATTCCATTATGTTTTATTCTTTTGTTATTAATATTTTTTTTTTTTTAGTTTTTAAATATGTATATAAAAAATATATATAAACGTACTCCCGAGCTATATTGAAAGGATAATCATATTAAAGTAATTCATTTTGTTTATAAACACAATTGAGAAAAACGTAATAAAATAAATAAATATATATATATATTATATAATATATTAATATTATATATTATATTATATAGTAATATAATATATTATATAATATAATTTATTATAGTAATTATAAGTAAAATATAATTATAGTAATATAATATATAATATTAATATAATATAATATATATTATATATATATATATATACAAGAAAATGAGATATAAAATGATATAGAAAGAGAAGGAAAAAAAGATTGTAACGCACTGAATGATTATTATGTAAAGCATATATATATATATATATATATATATATATGTGTGTATACATATATACATACAAATTACAAGCACACACGTAAACATTCCTACGATCGATTGAAAATATTCAGCTGATGTTGTATAATTGTTGTTTTCATTGATATTACGCAAACTTTTTTGAATTGAACAAGAAAATATGAAGAAGAAGAAGAAGAAGAAGAAGAAGAATGAACAAGGAGTTTGAAAACGCGTACATACATGTATATAATGTATATATACTTATGTATGCATATACAGGGTGAGTTTTTTGTTGTTGTTTTTTTTTTTTAAATAGAATTATACATTTTTAAACACCCTGTATATCGCTAGCAGTTTTATTATTATTATTATAATAATATCACGGTAGCTTATCTTCCTAATCGAAATATTCGCGATTGGACGACATAATTCCGGCGTGTTATAAACGAATTTATAAATAATTAAATAAATATGTTAATAAAAAATAAAAAAGTAAAAAAATAGAAGAAGAGAGAATGCAAATGAAAACAAACAAAAAAAAAAAAACAACAAAAAAAAAAGAAACATATGCGAGAAATGTGTTAATATAATAAATTATACGAGTTTACATGAAGTCTGCATAACGTGCATTACAAAAATACATTGTGCAAATTGCATACAAAATATATACATAATATATATATATATATATATATATATATAACAAAGAAAGAGAAAGAGAGAAACAAAGAGAGACAAAATAGAAAAGTGGTAGATAAATAAAAAGAAATAGAAAGAGATAGAGATAGAGAGAGAGAGAGAGAGGTAGAAAGAGAATGTGAATGTTCCGGAAGTTGTTTAACACACGTAGGAAAAAAAAGAGGTGTGACGCACACATCAATTCGCAAAATATAAAAAAGACGATATAAATGTGATTTCCGTAAATTCTTAAACCCTCCCCTTATATACACATGAAGCAATACCTCAGGGTAAATTACTTTGAACACTGAACGACACAATAATTAAACTTACACATGCGATATACTTGACGTATTTGCGGATATATATATATGTATATACTATATATATATATATAGTGTATGTCATTTATAATAAAAATGTGTAAGTTGAATCTTCACACCATTTTTTCATTGCTTACATAGAAAAGAAACAATGGAAGAAATATATATATATATATAAAAAAATGAGAAACAATGAGATACAAAATAAAGAAAAAGTTAAATAATGGATGAAGATACGAGGGGGGGAAAAAAAAAGTTACAAAGTTAACAATAAAAAAAAAAGAAGAAATAATGAGAGAGAGAGAGAGAAAGAGATAGAGAGAAAAGGAGGAGGAGAAAAAAATATTAAAATACAAAGATGAGGCCCAGGATCGCCGATTTTCTAAAGGACTTTATAATAATAATAATAATAATAATAATAATAATAATAATAATAATAATAATATTAATAAAAAAAAAAATTACTAATATAAACTATATTTTTCTGACTTATTAGAAGAGAAAGAAAGAGAGAGAGAGAGAGAGAGAGAAAGAGAGTGACGAACCATCAACATCGAGGTAACAAATTAACTATTAATTCACAAACTAACAAAAATATGGACGCTGATGCATAGATCATTTCGATAGGTCGTCTCACTTTAATAATGGATAGTTTTTTTTTTTAAAGAAACAGAGAGGGAGAGAGAGAGAGAGGAAAACATGAAAAATGTTTTCACGAATGTTTCTCACGATATCGTGAAATAAATATATATATCTCGATATATATATATATATATCGAGATATATCGTTGTCAATTCGTTTGAATTGGACTATCCATTAAGCGGGTTTAAAAATTTGTTCGTTGGAGAGAAAAAAAAAACTAAAACTAAAACTAAAACGAAAAAATGCATCGACGATCTTACCGCAATTGATATTGGCCAGTCAAGCAAAAAGAAAATA